GTACATATATACAATGGAATATTACTCAGCCACAAAAAGGAACGAAATTGGGTCATTTGTACAGACGTAGATGGACCTAGAGACTGTCATACAGAATGAAGTAAGTCAGAAAGAGAAAAACAAATATCGTATATTAACGCATATATGTGGAATCTAGAAAAATGGTGCAGATGAACCGGTTTGCAAGGCAGAAATGGAGATATGGATGTACAGAACAAACGTATGGACACCAAGGCGGGGAAAGCAGGGGTGGGGTAGGGTGGGATGAACTGGGAGATTGGGATTGACCTATATACACTAATATGTATAAAATAGATTAATAAGAACCTGCTGTATAGCACTGTAGATACTAACACAACACTGTAAAACAACTATACCCCATAAAAAAAAAAAAAGGGCCCTGCCATGGTTCAGTGCTTGGCTGTCACCATGATGACACGCTTAATGAGTCTGAACAACGCGCCCATATTTTCAATATGTTCTGGGCCCTGAAAATTATGTAGCCACTTCTGGCCATACAACCCTCACGGAAGATCTCCCTTCCTTCAAAGCAGTTTCTCCACAGCACCCCACAATCCTTAACCTCCAGGTCAATCTGCCCTGCCCACCCGGGCCTCCACTCATTGCAGGGCACTGGGCCTGGAAAGGGCCTTTGTGCAGCTGGAGGTAGTGGGGTCCTTCCTTTGCTCTGATGAAGCCACGGAATCCAGGGTCCTGGGGAAGCGGTGACGGGGAGAAGGCAGGGAGGATTAAGGTGGGGAGAAGACCCTCTGCAAAATTATCCACCCCACCACATGCCCATTCCAGAGATTCCACCAGGAGAGAGAATTCCTTTCTGATAGGGTCCTTTCCAACTGTTTTAAAAATAAAACCATTCCTGAGAAGGTCAACACCCCACGTTATTGGTTTCCACCATGCTGTGAACAAGCTCGCAAGCTGTTGTAAGCTGATCATGGGTGGATGTCTGGGCACAGGAGAATATTTGAAGAGGACGTGAGGATACTCCTGAATCTGGGGGAGAGTGAATCACAGAGGAGAAGTCTGAGTGAGGCCTGCAGAGCGGGTGCTGGGGCTTGGGAGCCCAAATAGGGGGGACATGAGGGGAGCGAGGAAGCTGGGTAGAGGTATTTCTTCTACTTCACGATTTTCCTGGACTCTGAGAATGAAAGCTTTTCTGCTCAGCCTCTCTTGATGGGTACAGAGGTCTATATTAGTTTCCTGTGTCTGCCTTTTTTTTTTTGCCAATAACAAATGACCACAAGCTGGGTGGCTTTAAGTACCAGAAACGTATTCTCCCACAGCTCTGCAGACTAGGAGTCTGAAATCAAGGTGTCAGCAGGGTTGGTTCTTTCTGGGGGCTCTGAGGGAGAATCCAGTCCATGCCTGTCTCTTAGCTTTTGCTCACTGCCTGGACGTCTTTAGTGTTCTTTGGTTTGTAAACACATCATTCCCGTCTCTGCCTCCGTCTTCACACCAACTGCTCCTCTGTGTGTCGCTGTGTTAAATCTTTCTCTCCTTTTCCTTACCAGGACACCACTTGTTGGATTGAGGGCCCACTTCAAATGCAGGATGATGTCCTCTTGAGAAGCTTAGCTTAAAATACATCTGCAATGACCCTATTTCCAATATTCAATAATACTGAATTAGATACTTCAAAATTGCTAGGAGACTAGATCTTAAATGTTCTCACCACAAAAAAGAAATGATAATTATGTGATGTGATAGAGGTGTTAGCTGAAGCTATGGTGGGAATCATACTGCAATATATAAATGTATCAAATCAACATGTTTTATACCTTAAACTTACACAGTTATATGTCAATTATATTTCAATTTAAAAACTAACTTAAAAAAATGATCTTATTTTCAAACAAGGTCTCATTCACAGGTATAGAGGTTAGGACTTGGACATATCTTTTTGGAGCCACAATTCGATATACAATACAGTTTTCAGTTTCTGTTTGCTTTTTATTCATGCTTTATTTGAACTTTCGAGCTTTGGTTTTTTCCCATGATAGAAATCCTGAAATTCTGAGACACATTATTAAATAATAATAGCAAAACCTCTGCAAATCCAAGGCATTTTACAAGTATGTAACGCAAGAGACTCTGAAGGATATCACAGTATCCCAGGAGAACAAGGAAGGAACAATAGCAAATGCCTTTGATCCTTTCAGTAGGAAAGTTGCAATAAGAGCCAAGTTCTATGATTTTAATATTGTTGTACATTACTCAGAACACAGAAATGTGAGTGTTTACAACCCTGAAACTGAAATGGAAAAGTAACAAAAATGTACTTCTAAGAGATTTTCATTAGATTAATTGGTTTGTTGAAAAATATGGAAAAGCCTAACACAATATTTTTGAATAAAACCTCTAAAGACTAAATCCCATCCACTACCCCTTTACCATGCTTTCAGGAACAGTTTGCTTTTTTGGCAAACTAGACTTAAACAGTAATACAGACAAACAATCAGAAATTTTGCATGATTCCTAATCATTAAGAAAGATTCAATTACCCTGAGAGAGCTGGCACACTAAAATTCTTAAGAGAGGAAAATGATCTTATAAAAAGTTAGGGTTTTTTTTTTTCCTCATTAATCTTTACCACTCTGGGTCATTTCTATTTAAGTATCATCATGGCTTAGATCAAGGCCACAGAATATTCTGCAGATTTGAGATTGAAATTTGTCCCTGTAAGTGTCAGTTTTCTTTCTAGGACATCAAGTTACCTCCCATTTCCTTCTTTTATGTGCAGAAAATCCCAAATATCTCAGCCTAATCACAGTTCATGGCCGTTAATATCACCATGCAATTAACTTAAGGAATTGTTTTCATGGAAAAATAAACTAGAAAGAATAGCCTAGATAATTAGGAAAATGATAAATAAGGGGAAGTAGTCCTACCAGGTGTTAAAATACATTATGTGGCTACAATACTCAAAACAGTTTGGGACCATCACATAAAGACCCACAGGAACAAGCGGGACAGAAGGAAAAGACATGCAGAGCCCATGAATGTAACATGACACAGGCAACATTTCAAGTCCACTGGATAGCCATTGGGAAACAGGACATTTGAATCCACACTTCACACCTTAAAATAAATACTAACTGCATCAAAGGTAAAAATGTAAAAACTAGGGTTTCCCTGGTGGCGCAGTGGTTGAGAGTCCACCTGCCGATGCAGGGGACACGGGTTCGTGCCCCACTCTGGGAAGATCCCACATGCTGCGGAGCAGCTGGGCCTGTGAGCCATGGCCGCTGAGCCTGCGCGTCCGGAGCCTGTGCTCCGCAACGGGAGAGGCCACAACAGTGAGAGGCCCGCGTACCACACACACACACACACACACACACACACAAAGTAAAAACTAAACCAAGCCAAACACACACACAGAATAGAAGAAAACATGGGAACACTCACAATTTCAGAGTGAGAAAAGCCTTTCCAAATATGACAAAAAACCCAGAAGGCTAGGAGAAAAGAGAAATTTAACTACACACACACAAAATTTTTTTTCATGGAAAAGCCACTAATGTAAGTTGGTCCAGCCACTATGGAAAGGAGTTTGGAGGTTCTTCAAAAAACTAAAAATAAAGTTGCCATATGATCCAGCAATCCCACTCCTGAGCATATATATGGACAAAACTATAATTAAAAAAGATACATGCACCCCTATGTTCATAGCAGCACTATTCACAATAGCCAAGACATGGAAACAACCTAAACGTCCATCGACAGATGAATGGATAAATAAGATGTTGTACATATATACAATGGAATACTACTCAGCCATATAAAAGGATGAAATCATGACATTTGCACCAACATGGATGGACATAGAGATTATCATACTAAATGAAGTCAGAAAGAGAAAGACAAATATAATAATGATATCATTTATGTGTGGAATCTAAAATATGACACAAATGAAACTATCTACAAAACAGAAACAGACTCACAGACATGGAGAACAGACTTGTGGTGGTCAAGGGGGAGAGGGCATGGGGGAGGGATGGATTGGGAGTTTGGGCATTAACAGATGCAAACTATTATATATAGAATGGATGAACAACAAAGTCCTACTCTATAGCACAGGGAACTAATTTCAATATCCTGTGATAAACCATAATGGAAAAGAAAAATGAATGTATATATATGTATAACTGAATCACTGTGCTGTATAGTAGAAATTAACACAACATTGTAAATCAACTATACTTCAATTTAAAAAAAAAGAAAAGAAAGAAAAACCACCATAAGCAAAGTCAAAAGGTGAACAATAAACTGGAAAAAATGTTTGTAACTCACATCAGAGACAAAAGAACAATTAGCTTCCTCCCCTCCTCCCACGTTGGTTTAACCAATAGAAAAATGGGCATAAACCAATAGAAAATCAATAGTAAAATGAACAAAGCTGCTAAAGACAGCCAAAGAGGAAGTAAACACTCAAAAGATATTCATCTCACTCACAATAAGAGAAATGCAAATTTAAAAGCACAATTCAATTATATTCAGAAAGAAGTTCATTTTAAAAAATAGAAAGCCATGTTTCAGATTGGAAAGGTACAAAACTTGAGCACATATCCATTAGGCTCTTTATACAATGTGACTGACACTGTTCTTATCAAGATGGAGTTCCCTCCTCTGGGTTCCCTCCCCTTGCCTCTGGGCTTGTAACTTTTCTGAAGAATGGAGTGTGGAAGAGATGCTATGTGACATATAAGCAGGATTGGAAATAGGATGAGGCAAGAGAGGGGCCAGGGCACAAAATGTCAGAAAGCACTCATCTTCAAGGGTGTGCAAGTGTAGGGTCAGCCTTCAAAAAAAATGCCCTCTTAAACCCTGTGGTCCAGAGACCTCTCTTGTCTCTTGCTTCCAAAGGAAGTCTGGTGACCTTGATGCCACCAGGTTGGAGAAACTATATAGAGAGACCATGAAAGGACAGAGACACCTGAGTGGTCCCCACAATTCCATCACCTTGGAGATTCAGTTCTTACCAGTCCTGCACCAGACACTTGATTGAAGAAGTCTTTGAAATGACCCCAGCCACCAGCTGAATGCATCTCCTGAGAGATGCCAAACCAGAATGACCCAGCCAAGTGAATCATCATCTGGACCCACAGAAACTATGAAAGATAAGAAATGATCACTGATGTTTGAAGCTATGAAGTTTTGGGATGATTTGTTATAGGAGTAGTTACAGAATTTATAGATACCTATAGTTTGCATCTGCTAATGCCCTATTTAAGATAGGCACTCTCATATCTTGCTGGTGGTAGATTAAATTGGTATATCCTCCTTGGAGATGAACAATTTACTAACATCTAATTAAAATCAATACATACAGGCCCTTGGCCCAGACATTCCACTTTTAGAAGTTTCCCAATGAATATATTCACACATATGCACAGTGATATACGTACAATATATTTATCACAATATTGTTTAAATAGAAACAATTGGAAACAACCTAAAAGGACACCAATATGGGCCTGTTTAAGCAAATTATAATATTCAATGGAATGCTGTTCAGTTCAACAAAGAATGAGGGTATTCTTTGTATGATATTAAAAAAAAAACTGCAGTGTAATTTCTAAGCAAAATATAACAGAAAAGTAAGGTACAAGGCAGTATGTATAGTACAGTAGCAGTTGTGAAAGAGGAGGAGGAAAAGAATATCTCTGATCATAACTGCATGAATATGCATAGATCATCTCCACAAATTACACAGGCACATTTACACCCATTGCTTGGAGAAAAGAATGGATGGCTGACAGACAGGATGTGGGGGGTATGGAGATTTACTGTATGTGTTTCAATGCCTCTTAATTTTATACCAGGTGACTGTATTACCTAATCAGAGATAAATAAGCAAAATGAACTTGAAATTTTTCTCTTTTAGTTATTTTGCTTTAACTTAACACTGTCTGGACTTTTAGATATTAGATCAAACTGAGGTTCATGTAGTCCTGAGGATCAGGAAGATGTTCTTCCAGGGTGTATATTCATGGGTTAGGAGGCTGGAATCAGTTTCTAGATGTAGAATGAATACAAGTGCTCGGGCCTAAAATTCATTTGTCTGGGAAATTACCTTGCCGGGCTGGTTCTACTTTCTCACTTCTTTTCTCCCAGTCCTCCTTTTCTTTTTTTTTTCTCTCTTTTTTTTTTTTTTTTTTTTGCTGTACGCGGGCCTCTCACTGTTGTGGCCTCTCCCGTTGCGGAGCAACAGGCTCTGGACACGCAGGCTCAGCGGCCATGGCTCACGGGCCCAGCCGCTCCGCGGCATGTGGGATCTTCCCGGACCGGGTCATGAACCCGCGTCCCCTGTATCGGCAGGCGGATTCTCAACCACTGCGCCACCAGGAAAGCCCGGTCCTCCTTTTCTTACTTGACAAAAGTTAGTCTCACCTGTCCTGCATTTTATTCTGGGTGTTGCCCAGTGAGGGAAGACCCCTGGGAGGCCAAACAAAAGAACAATTCAAAATATTGGCATTGGTTTTGAGAAAGTGAACAACTTTAAAGATTGTGAAATAAATCCTTTTGCAAGTCTAATTTCTTGCAAAAGGTAGTTTCCAAGTTTTTGCTTTCAAAATAATTGAAAGAGGACCTATTGAATTATCAGCTGATAGAACATTAAAAATTATTTTTAATAATGGATCACAGGGCCATTTTTTACATATAACTCAGGACTTCAAAGAAAAATTGAAGTGATGTTGCTGTAAGCAAAATCCTTCCATTGCCATCTGCTCGTATACAAATAACGTTCCTCAGCATTGACATTTGTAAAAACAAAAAAAGGGGAATAACTTTGATGTGATAAATTATACTCAACCATAAATAACTGTACTTGCTTGAAAACTATGGCAACTCCCACCTTCCCTGGTGGTGCGGTGGTTAAGAATCCTCCTGCCAATGAAGGAGACACAGGTTTGAGCCCTGGTCTGGGAAGATCCCACATGCTGCGGAGCATCTAAGCCTACACCACAACTACTGAGCCTGCGCTCTAGAGCCTGTGAGCCACAACTACTGAGCCTGCGTGCCACAGCTACCGAAGCCTGTGTGCCTAGAGCCTGTGCTCCACAACAACAAAAGCCACTGCAATGAGAAGCCCGTGCATCGCAATGAAGAGTAGCCCCCTCTCGCCACAACTAGAGAAAGTCTGCGCACAGAAACGAAGACCCAATGCAGCCAAAAATAAAGAAATAAATTTAGTTTAAAAAAGCCCCCAAAACTAAGGCAGCTCTATCTATCTTACCAAGAGATACATTTCCAATAAAACTTTATGTTTAATGATTACAGTTGGTCAGATCAATTGTAGTGATAACTCCATCTAAAGTTTTTTTCTTTTTTTTACCTTTGAGCTTTACAGTCGCAGGAAATTTTTAAAATTTCAATGTGTTCACGCACTTTTGTTGTATCAAAGAATGTGAGAGTGATTTTTTAAAAAAAGCTTTCAAGCATACAGATAAATTATATCAAGGGTAAAATTCTTTGGGGGAAGTAGAATAAAATGACTTCGAACTGAAAAGGGAACAATGTAAAATTTCCATGTATTTAAGAATAATTTTTTGATATATTTTCAAAATGATGATGGTGGGTATAAAATGGCTGCGGTATTTGGATACATTTTAAAGAATGATGTAATTAGGGTTTTAAAATGTTCATGTTTATCATGTGTTGGAAATTATATCTTAAAGAAACATTTTAAATAATGTAAAATTGCCTAAGGGAGAAAGTTCTTCAAATTCTTTAAGCAATATACAAATATTTTGAACTATTGCCTTAGAGACTATCTGGTTTAGCTCTCTTTACTTTGCAGATTAAAAACTTGCTCATCAAATTGGTCACCAAGTGACAAATGGTCTCCTACCTCCTTGTCCAGGAAGCCAGATCTAATCCTGGCAACCCGCCTGGTCAGGATGAGTCCTCTATGGTCCTTGGCAGGAACACCTGAATGGTAAGGAGCAAAGGAAATCAGCCCAGATGCCAATACTGTGCACCCCACCAACCCCTCGGGAATGGAGATAAAATTCAAGCAACAAAATGCTGTCTTCCCACATCCTCATGGGGTGTATATAACATTTTGATGCCCTCTTAAGACCATCCGACATTATCTTTTGAGTCTTTTCACCTCTAATTTCTGTGAATCTCTTTTTTCTTCTCTTTTTTTTTTTGGCGGTACGCGGGCCCCTCACTGTTGTGGCCTCTCCCGTTGCGGAGCACAGGCTCCGGACGCGCAGGCTCAGCGGCCATGGCTCACGGGCCCAGCCGCTCCGCAGCATGTGGGATCTTCCCGGACCGGGGCACGAACCGGGGTCCCCTGCATCGGCAGGCGGACTCTCAACCACTGAGCCACCAGGGAAGCCCTCTGTGAATCTCTTGCTTTCGGTTTGCTCATCAGACACCTCTCCTGAGAACCAGTCTCATCCCCACTATGATGCCAGCAAATCTGGTTGAGGACCAGTGAGTGGGGGAATGGGGATGCAGGAGAGACAATGGTTGGCACCTTCTAAACTTGGCCTTATAGCTCTGCTTTTTCTCTTTCCTCACCCTAGATTTGCCTTCAGGCTTCGCTCAAATTCATTCAGTTACAGGTTAAGGTTACCGTGTATTTTATTTTCCAAACTAGCACACATTTGAAAGAGCGATCAATATATTGATAATTATGCCAGAAAAACAGGTAGAATCCATGATCATCCTGGGATATATATTGTCACCTTAGCTATTGGTATTCTAGTGAGGAAGGAAGGAGAAAACTGCTGAAAATGTTGGATTAGGTGTGGGGAGTGTTAGAGCAGTAGATTAATTGGGGTGATCTGGTGTGGAATTGGGTAATAAAACTCAAATGAGGGGGGAAATGTATGGACAATCAATGTTGTGTTGATTTTGTCTAACATTCTGGGGAAAGCCAACACTACCTATGGGCAGAATCAGCAGCTATGCACTCCATGTAATTTGGGGGGTCCAGAAAAATCCAGAATTCTCTCTCTCTCTCTGTCTTACTGATGACTTCTGCAGTACCTGATATTCCCCAAATCAAAGTTATTGCTTAGGCCTTCTGGAAACTAGTGCATTTTATCTGAGTGGTATAATTTTGCAGGAATATCATAAATGAATCCTTCTTGACCTTATGGAGAAGAATCATGAGAACATGGGTCACAGGATAGGTAAGCTTTTTTGTTTTGTTTTGTTTTTGTCTTGTACCCATCTAAGCTTTTGTCTATTACCTTTTTTCATGGATTAAAACAAAAATTCCATATCAAGAATATATAAAGCAAAAATTAGAATAAAGAAATCTTACAAATCAATAATAAAAGCTAAACAACCCAATGTAAAAAAAAACTAAGCAAATATTTGAACAGAAACTTTACAAAAGGAGACATAAAAATGGTCTATGAAAATATGCTCAAATCACTACTCATCAGGGAAGGACAGGTATGTTTTGAAGTGGTGACTAGAGGTGATATAGTATATATACACATAGAACAGAAAGCACTGAACCAAGGTTGGTAGGAGGCGGAGGCCACAGCCTCTGGGGAGGGTGTTGGGTGTGCCACATACACACAGGCCACTCCATTTAATCCTTCCTACAGCCCTGTAGGTGGGCACAGGCTTTTCTCCTTTACCGAGGATGTAACACCCAGATGGCTTGTCGCTGCTCTGAAATTTCTTTGAAAGGATCATTCCAGGTGATAGATTGTGCCAGCAATCAAAAGAATAACACTGTGTATTCATGCAGTTCTCCGTGTTGACAAGTGCTTTCAGATGAGTTTGTCCATCCAGACTTGCTAAGACCTTCATGAAGTGGATTGGCCAGGTATCATTATGATCCCATTACTATGAGCACAGCTGAGACCAAAACTCCAGGGGGCCTGACTTTGGGTTTAGTGATTCGGTGCTTTTCCCATAGAATACAGACCTCTAGGCAGTTTATGACAGATCAATCCTGATAAATTTCCTTGGCCTATGGGGAGGATATTGGATCACTCCATACTGAGAAAATATTCACTCACCATTAGAGTCACATATAACCTTTACACAGGTCTCTAAATTCCTAAAAACCCGATTCCTGCCTACCTTCCTAATCTTTTTTTCCCTCTTCTCTCTATATTCTAATGGGGGGGGCCTCCTTTCTGGGCCTTGACTATACCTTTCTGGCTGTTCCCTCTGCCTGGACCTCTTTCTCCCCAGATCTTTGTATGGCTGGCTCAATCTCATGCCTCCAGCCAAGGTTGATTTCCTTAGACTCTCCCCTAACCCCTTATGTAAAGTGGCCTCACATCATCCTGCTTATTTTTTGATGACACAGCACAATCTGCAAGTCTCTAGCTTATCTGCTAAGTACTATTATCATATTTTCTCTATTAGAACATAAGTCCCATTAGGCAAGGACCAAGTCTGACTTTTTACTGCTCTATTCCCAGTGCTGGTACATGGGAAGTACTCAAGAAATGTTTTTTATGAATAAAATGAATAGGCAACTTTGACTGGGATTGCTTGATCTTGGTGTGTGGCCAGCTAGCATTTCCAGCATGGATGGTTATGCTCTAATTCCAACAATAGTTCATTCAGGAAGTTACAGTCAGTCAGTCACTCACTCACCTAACTAGAGGTACCCACTATGATGGAAGGGAACCACCATCTACTTGAAAGGATCTTCTAATCTACATACCTCAGTAAAGAGAGTATCAAGATTGCACTGGGCAAATTTTTAAGTCCAAATCTTCCAATCTACATATAAACTGCTTGATTTTTTAAAAAGCAAATCCCAAATGCTCTAATCCAGTTATAATGGTGCAGTTATGGGGAAGCATAGTGTATAAGATTATTTCATTGGAAAATATATCAAGCAAAAACCATTCTTCAATCTGCTTTGACAAGATACTGAGCTCAGGAATTGTTCAACCTCAATTCCAGAGGCTCCAGCACATGTTAATTTCAATGATTTCCCTGGACTCTGGTCATCTCAGACCTTAGATACCGTTGCCTGTTTTAAATTTTTAAGATTCCACTTTTACTGCTGTCTTATGACCATGATGCTAGTTCCTTTAAAGTGAGGATTCCCTGGGATTCTGGCACAAGATAGCCACCAGTGAGAAAGGAGCTAAATACTCTTTGGGAAGGAGGAGAAATCTTAGAGATATAGAATTTTTAAAAATTTGAAGTCTGAGTTTTTCAAGAGCCAAAACATTTTCAGACTTTCCCTAAAAGAATAGAGGCCAAACCAAATTTATGAAATTCTACATTTATATATTTTTACCCTGTGAGAATATATCTAAAATAAGTTTAAAAATTAGAGTTGAAGACTGAAAATGGGAAGAGAGAGACATCTTATATCAGTTTACTTCATACCATAAGAAAAAAATTGGAAATCCCCAAATTGTGACTGTAATTTTGGCAGTTTTCTTCCTAGATTCTAATATAAGAAAAAGTATTTTTATGCTCTAATATTGGTATAGAAATGGAATACATCACTCTGGAACTCAGATATACGTTTTTAACCTCAGTGATGTAATGATGTGGTGTCATTACGTAGATTCCATACTCACTTTTAAAAAATTGCTGAGATTCTGGTAATGATAGACTGGCTAACTTAAACCAGCACATCCACTGAGGAAAATCAGAAGAGGGGGACAAAATATCTTAAATGCCTGCTTGAAAGCATCTGAGAGGAATCAAGATAGCAAAGAATTCCCAGGCTAGAGGAGAGAGGCTGAGGAATGACCCAGCATGTGGAGATGGTTTTCCCTGGGGACTTTTGCCACTCTGAAGGAGCTGGCTGAAAGGCTGAAGGTCACTTTTTTTTTTTTTTTCAGTACATGGGCCTCTCACTGTTGTGGCCTCTCCCGTTGCGGAGCACAGGCTCCGGACGCACAGGCTCAGCGGCCATGGCTGACGGGCCCAGCCACTCCGCAGCATGTGGGATCTTCCCGGATCAGGGCATGAACCTATGTCCCCTGCATCAGCAGGCAGACTCTCAACCACTGTGCCACCAGGGAAGCCCTGAAGGTCACTTTTGACAGTCATATTGGACTAGTGCTCACCAAGAGGACCTCTGGTGAATTCTAGATTGAGACCCCAAAAAGATTACTCTAGGAATAAGGGTGAACTGGAGTTAGAAATGCCGTACAAGGATTGGAGCTCAACTTCAAAAGAGCTCATCTCTGAGCTTGGATTGAGGTAACACAAATTGGTGGTATTCTTCTCTGGAGGAAAATGTCACCCTAGACCTAAAGTTGATCCTACAGGCAATGCTGCAAATACAACGTCGGGCACACAATAAAGAATAACCAAGTAGATGATGAGACAACATGAAACAAACTAACAAACAAAATCAGAAACAACAAACTACAGAAACACACCCACAGGAGCTTCAGGTATGGTAATTAGTAACAGGAAAAGTCTCATATTAACTGTTTAGTATGTTCAGAGAGACAAACGGAAAGACTGGGAATTTTTGACGAGAACTGGAAACTATAGGAAAGAACCAAGCGGAAATCTTAGAACTGAAAAAGATAACAACTGAAATTAAGAACTCAGTAGATGGATTGAACAAAGACTTTAAGACAGATGAAGAGAGAATTGGTGAAATGGCAGATAGGTCAGAGCAACTAATTCAGAATGAACTGTGAAGAGATAAACTAATGGACAACATACAGGCAATGATAAAACAAAAAGATACAGTAAGAAGATACCGCAAAGTTGAGAGAGAATGAGGCAAAAGTACCAGTTGAAGAAATAATGTGAATTTTTCAAAGTTGATAACAGATAATATGCCATATATTCAACAAATCTCATCAATCTCAAACAGATTTTTTAAAAAGAAAGAGAAAACCACATCTAGTTACATTATAGTAAAACTTGTAAAACTAAAAACAAAGAGAAAAATCTTAAACTGGTCCTGATTACAATACAGACAACACTCAAGGAGGAACAATGAGACAGACAAG